TTAGAGGCAGCACTATGGCGAAGGAGAAGGAGAGAGTTGTAGAAGAGCACTCTTGAGTCTTGGGTTGTTAAAGAGCTTTTCTCCTCACAGACACCATAGGGCAAGAGCTGCAAGTTATGAAGGTGGCTAAAGCATATCTTCACACTCCAGCACACTCCAGTTGATGGAACAGCCTTTGTAGGTGATAGACTTGTGAGTTTATGATGGCAGCCTTGCAGCCAGATGGTTCTGGGCATATGTGTTTAAGAGAAGGTGTCTTTAAGTCACTTCCTTTGGAGTGTGCTGAGCGCAGCTTAGATTAAGGCAGCTGTGTTTGCAGTGTCATCCTCCTGTTCAGTGGCTTGCATTTCTCTTCTGTTTGCTTTGGTTCTTTTCTGTTCAGTGGAGAGGTGAAGGGGTGGCTAATACTTCTGCCCTGGAGAATTACAGTGAATGAGAACATGTCTTCTGCCCCTTTGCAAGCTAATTAAGACTTAGAGATGGGTCCCCAGGAGGAAAAATGGATTATATTCCTGCTCGTTCCCTCCCTAGAACAGACAGGCGGAGTATGTATAGATCTTTGGCTCCTATTTTAGTACTCCCTGGGAGGTATTTGATGCTGATATGTATAAGCTTTGCTTTTCCATTTTAAACTGAGTGCCTGTCAATGAATGGTATTTCAAGAGAGGCTGATAATTTGGTAATGAAAGTTTTGTCTGGGTCATAGTAACAGCGTGGATGGTGACAGCAAAACGTAACTTTGCAGCAGAGCTGGGAGTGGTTGAGTGTGGTGTTGTTCTCGGTATAAAACCAAGCTCTGGTGTGAGAACAGATCTATAAAAGCAAGAATGGCTTTTAATGAATTATTAGGGAACACTAATGCACAGTGTCTTCCAGTGGCAGAAATAGGGAGCAGGAGATGAAACCAGCAGAGAGGCAGGTATCATCACACAGCAAATCACTGAAATGGGAAATGCTTTTTGATAAGGTGTTGCAAGCGCTAAATATTTACATGAGTTCAGAAAACAACTGGACAAATTCACCAAAGATGACTATTAAATACAAAGGTACTACTCTGTTCAAAATTCCTTTGATATGAAGTGCTGGATAATGGGAGAGCGTGGAGAGGAAGTATCTCTATATACTTGTCCTGCTTTATACCCTTTCTAGGTTTCTGCTACTGGTTATTGTTGAAACCAGGGTACTGATGTATGAGGATGTTTGATGGAACCTGATTCACTAACCTTTTGCTCTTGTGCCTGTGGAAGATGCACTCAGATTTTGGTTTGCAATGTAAATTTGCTTTTGAAAGGATATTTTGATGTACACTGTCACTTAGGAGGACTATTGTGTAGTATGTGTGTGATAACACCCATAGTTTGATGCTCTGTATATGGTCGCAATGCAACTTTCATGAAATAATAAAAAAATGGATGGTCAAGTTGTGTGATATCAGGGCTATACTCTTATGTTGTGTTTATCACTTAATTTTTTTACTTCATTGTAAGTGTTGGGATTCCTTTTGTTTTCCTTTCTGTGATAAATATGTTGCAATGGAGGATAATAAGTTTTTCTTAACTGAGTGATGAGCCACATCTAAACCTCTCAATCTGTGTACTGAGAGAAGAAAAAACAAAAGAAAAGGGCAGAATTCCATCTCTTTGCAGTCCTTCTGAGTGCATGTAAAATAAAATGTAAAAGTCAAAGTTAATGTCTTGTAGTGGATTGGTAAACAGGATTATTGCCTGGATGGAGTAAATCCTCAAGTATTCCTACCGTTTTATTTTGCTGTGTAACAATTCTGAAAGCAACTCTCAGAAGGACCAATACATGCAGCTTTTTCTAGTACTGCTTAGAATGCGCATGTATATTTGCTGTTATTTATTTACCTTGTCCTACTTTTATTTATTCCTATTTTAGCTTTTTAATTTGCAATTCAGCTTCCTTAGCTTTGAAAGCACTGTGCCTTAAATGGTTCTGTATTTTTAGACAAAATGGATGCATAGTATGCTATAGTTGCAACCTATATAATACTATCTTTTTTCCAAGTTAGCCTCATGACGTTGGTAAGACTCAGTAATGCATTTACAGAGTCAGTGTTCTCATTTAGCCTTTCTAGCCTGTGATTAAATGGGAGTTGCTGCTTGTTTTAATATGAGTTGGCTGACAAGGACTAAATCTGTCACAGGTGCTGCAATTTGTGTATCAGAAAATTTGCTTTCCAAATACTAATTATTCCCAAAGTACCTTACTTCACACAAAACACAGATAACAGAGTCAGCAAATTTATCCCAGTTTTATCATTGTGCTGTAAATTAGGGTTTGTCTTCTACCTTTGTGTAAAGTTAAGATGGTAGAAATTCAAATGGCAAGAGAACCCATTGATTTACAACCTCTGATGTGTTTTTTTACTTAATTCTTCCAGTCGAAGTGCTTGAAATGTATGTTATTCAAATAATCATTGCTGAATTTCACTTCTCTAATTGAATGAGCTGTTGTCTAGGAGCATAGGATGGGAAAATAACAGTGTTGTCTCTCCAGATGCTATTAAAAATTGGAAGCGTTTTATGCCTGAAAGGCCCAGACCTAACCTGGTCATATGCTTAAACTATTAATTTGGGAAGTTAATTTAATATGATGATAGCTTATCAGGAATTATCTTTCTGGTTGCTGTCGGAGGAGAATCAACACTCAGTCATTGAAACTGCTGCTGAATAAGTGAAAGCATTCAATTTATAACCTTCTCAGACCCTGAGTCATGTGTGTCATGAAACCACACACAAGCACGGAGTTGGGTTCCCATCACCCCCCTTCCACCTCTCCCCCTCTCAGGGAGCATTTGTGATAACCTGTTACAGACCCCATTGCTTGTATGATGTATTTTGACAGTGAAGCACCAGGATCTCCCTAGATAAGAGTGTGTTGCTCAGGTAGGCTATTGCTCAGTTAAATCTTTTGTAACAGATCTAGCTGTCATCCGAGTGAGCAAATTTTTGACACTAGATGCAGAATGACCTGTTAAAATAGCACCTGGAACTGTGTTAACAGCAGCTTCTCCTCTCATTGCCGAGAATTACGTAGGAGTCCCTTCTGAGATTAGATAAGTGTTTTAAATGTATATTCAAAATATTTAGCTTATAGAATGACTTACACAGAAAAGGAAGAGCACTGAATGCTGTGAATGACATTTTTAGCAACAATTTTTGCATTGTAAACTAGCTTAAGAAACTGTTTATTTATTCCCTTAGGATGAACATGTTGTATCTTTCCAGATTTCTGACAAATGCAAACATTGATGTGATTTAACTTCTACTAGCAGAGATTCACAGCTCTAGTTGTTTGGCTTGTGTACAGTGATACTGATTTGTATTTTTATTTTATTTCTCTAGGACTATTTAACCATTCACAAGTATGGCAATGCAGCCAGAAATGATCTCTGGAACACATTGTCAAAGGTAAAATGTTTTAATCTATTGCACTGAGGGAGAGGTAGGAATTTATTGTGGTATTTTGCTTGGTGAGGTTAGGAGTGAATGGTGCATATTGAGATCTTCAGACCACAGAGCAAATACAAAAATTGTTGCAAAGAAATTCTGCTTGAGTTAACCCAGTGGCAAGATTAAATTATGTTTTTTGCAGCATTTCTATTCTTTGTTATGTTAGAACATATTTCCTTCCTTGTGCTGCATCACTGATGTGTAGTAAAAGATACTTCATGGAATCTGCTGTCATTGACTTTAGTGGCAGCACGCTGAGGCCCATAAGCTGGAAAGCACATGAAAGTGCTGAGCTTTGGCGTTTACATCAGGTGTGTTTGTGGTTTTCTATGGAGTTATGATTTGTGTGAAGGACAAAACTATTAAAGCTTTCAAGTTTGGTGTAAACAGATAACTATTTACTGTAACCTTTGGCATGCTGTTGAGACTTACAGCTGCTATGTCCATGCTACCTTTGTTTACTATGTCCAAGCTTGGCTTGAGTTTCTAGTGCCCAGTTTAATTTTCATAATGAGCCAAGCATGCCTAATTTCTCACCTACAGAACTGGTATGGGCATTCCAGAATAAAGAAAGCCAGTGTAGAGTATGAAGTAAGAGAGTTTGGGCACAAGTACCAACTCAAGCTATGTGTAAACGTGGTAATCTAGCTGTAACTATTGACACCAAAGCAGGGATTTAGCTGGAGGTGAAGACATCTGCATTTTATCTAGACAAGAAAGTATATACATATAAGCTAGTTGTCCAGTCTCCAATTGTTGTCAATAAGAATTGAATTCACTTGCCGGTTTGTAGACATCTAACAATATTTTCCTTGTTTTATCCCACCTGGCTTCCAGCTGCCACGTGAGATAACCGTGTCTGCTGTAGGTCCACTAGTTCTGCAAGGATGTGTTGAATATTTTACAACACCTCATTTGATGCTTGGTGAATAGGAAAAACTGAGTCACAGAAATCCAGTAGATGCAGTCAGCAGAGCATAGAGAGCAATTCAGTTGACTAGCCACTACATTATTATTTTAAAATGAGCTCAGACCACTGACTGTTGACTAGGGACTCGAGACAGTTGTTCAAATATAGATAACTAGTGCTACATTAGGTGCAGTAGGGTGTTCAAGTCATTCAGGTGGGTGTAAATGATTTCACATAAGATCTGTAAGGAAATCTGAACTCTTCTGGAGTGGCAGGTCAAGATCAAAGGAGAATAGCCACCTGTATGAGGGCAACTGAACTGGATGCTGTGTATGCAGTGACTGTTAATGAGAATTGAGATGCATAACATACAGTCTGACTCTTAAATCTGTGTCTTAATCTGAAGTTGAATGCAATTGCAAATTCTTTTTTGTTTCTCACCTGATGTCTTCCTCTGTTAAAGCCTTTAGGACAGTTATGGGTGATGGGGGGTGAGAGGGATGAACACAATCTTGAAAGAACCCCACAGCTAATGAAACAGAACAAAACCGAGCTTGTATTCTGGTCTATAACTCCTATGGCTTTATTGTATGCGTTGCAATTGCAGCTTCGGTTCTGGGGACTTCTTGCTGGGTTCTGCTTGTATTCATCAGAGATTGTGCAATCTGATCTAGGACTGCTCGGCAGCTAGGGACATTCTTGTCACTGAAGAACAAATGATGCCTGTCATTCTCCTCATACCCAGTCTCATCTCCCATGATGCTGTAGTATCTTCTTGTTTCAGATGAAAATCCACTTGTAAAACAGCATTTTTTTTGACCTACAATATGAAACATGAACACATTAATCCTCTGTTATGACAGGTGCAGTTTATGAATGAACTGGGAATATCTTTGTATACATGACCTCACTTTGGACACGAGGGAAAGTATTTTCAAATAACTAGTAATTTGATTTTCAGAACAGAGAAGCTCTGTCCATTTAGAAATCAGGCCTTTTGAGTATACCTTATTGTAGGTACCCTAGATCAACTAATACTGAGTCTTTTTTAACCTTAACTGGTCGAGACTATGTTTTGGAGATGGCCACACAGTATTTCTGTGGCTCTTGTTAAAATCCTGTGAAGCAGATTATTTCTTCTGTTACAGCATATGTGCCTCAACGATACAGGAAACATGACTTTCTGACTGTAACTCTTCTCTCTGGCAAGATTGCTCAGTTTTTATTTTTAAGTTATGTGGAGACTGTTGGTTAAATTATGTAGTGTGTCTGTACTGCTGTACTGGGTGCAAATGTGTGTGTGTGCATGTGTGATGGTTGTTTAAACCTGAAAAACTAATGTCGCTGGGACAAAAAAATAAAGGATTGTACATGTTGGATGATGATACTGCTTCAACAGATTGAAACTTTTCTTTTTTTCTTGAAGGCTTTAAAAAAAGTTGGAAAATCTGTAAATATCCAAGAAGTAATGGATCAGTGGACACTACAGATGGGTTATCCTGTTATCACTATCTTGGGAAATGAAACTACAGACAATGTCATAGTGATCACTCAAGAGCGTTTTGTTTATAATAGTGATACTAAACCCAAGGATTCTGCCCTTGGAGACAACAGGTACTTATATTTCTCAATTAATATCTTTCAAGAGGCTGTAGTTGTTTAAGAAAATGTTTCGTGTGTGTATTTTTGGGATGATGGCTCTTTAGCAATCTCTGGGCTTTACTTGGTATCAATAGCATGTGTGACCCTTCCATTTGAATTGTAGTAAAGATGAGACTAGTTAAAAGAATTGAAAAAAATCATTTGAGTACTAGAACAATAAGATAAAGCTTTTAATGTACCCATTTGCATCCTGACAGTTTTCTCTGTGACTACATCTTATGTCTTAGATCACATATCTATTCCTCTCCTCTTCTGATTTTGTCACACTCCATGAGGTAATTTGGAATGTGGTTGGAAGATCTGATACTTCTTTTTAAGTAATTCTTTGGAGTGGACCTCTCTGTGCTCATACGTTGAGTAGGCAGCTGTAACTGTGTGTCACACAGGTAACTCGCTTAAACTTGGGAAGCAGTCAAGAGCTGAACTGGACCTCTGTGCAGGGCAGGGGGTTCCAGCTGTTCCATTTTTTAAGCCAGCTGAACTGGTCCTAGGGGGACTGTTACATGAAATCAGCAGGCACTTAGTCATCCCTGCCCTTTTTCCACTTCTTAGATTGTTTCACTCCTGCTCCCAGCTGACTCCCCACACTTCCTTCATCTCAGAGACAAGCTGACATTCCTGGCTGATTCTGAGAAATCCTTATCTTATTGTTTAAAGCAGTTTTGGCATAATATTTTAAGGCCAAGAATATAGAGCTAATGCTAGAGAATTACAAGATAGCTTTGGAAGCTTCTGTGTTCACCTATTCAAAAAAGAAGGCATGCTGTCAACCTTTAGTACTCTGTGTTTGTTGAGTAGATTTAAATCATTAAAAGATAAAATTTGACACCAAATTTTGAGTGACATGTCTGGAGCTTATAGAATATTCCTGTTGAGGAAGGCCTAGAAATGTAGTTGCATTTATTGGAAAATGTTTAGAAGTTCCTTATCTTTTTTTAGAACATGAATAATTATGGAATTCAAACATGACACAGAGTAAATAGTTGTTTTTCTGGCTATATTGGAACAACTGAGCAGGGTATTAAGTATCTGTTTAAGTTCTGGGCTGAAATTAGTTTCTTTGTGAAAAAGAGATAAAACGGTTGAATGTGGACTGATGGAAGTGTTCATAACTCACAGTTCAGTGCAGTTCATTCGAATTTTATTTTTTTGTGCAAATGTATTTACATGTAATATAATGTGAGTGGGTTTTGTTACTCAGAGATTATTAGTTTTTTAATTGATCAAAACTGAGATGTGTAAGCCTTTTAAGTATGATAGAGACTTTCTTAAATAGATTTGTTAGGTATTCAGTATTGATTGTAATAGTTATAATTCGTGAGAAAAGACTAATGGATATGTAAATGTTTTCTAAGCTGGAATACCAGGGGTGATGTGGTGGACTGACCCTGGCTGGACGCCAGGTGCCCACCAAAACCTCTCTGTCGCTCCCTGTCTTTGGCTGCACAGGAAAGAGAAAATAAAATTAAAGGCTAGTGGGGCAGGGTGAGGAAGGGAGATCACTCACCAGTTACCATCATAACGAAAACAGACTCAACCTGCGGTAGTTAGTTTAATTTATTACCAATCAAATCAAATAGGGTAATTGAAATAAAATATAAATCTTAAACACCTTCTATCCACTCCTGTCTTCTTTCCAGGCTTAATGTTTCTCCTGATTTTCTTTACCTCCTCCCTCTGAGCAGTGCAGGGAAACAGGGAATGGAGATTGTTGTCGGTTCATTGCACGTCTCTGCTGCTCTTTCCTCCTCAGGGGGAGGACTCCTCACACTCTTCCCCTGGTCCAGTGTGAGGTACCTCTCATGGGAGACAGCTCTTCCCAAATTTCTCCAGCCTGAGTCCTTCCCACAGGCTGCAGTTCTTTGTGATCTCCTCCGGCGTAGGTCCCTTCCATGGCGTGCAGTCCTTCAGGGACAGGCTGCTCCAGTGTGAGTCCCTTACAGGGGCACAAGTGCTGCTAAGAAACCTGTTCCAGTGTGTGCTCCTCTCCCCATTGGTCCACAGATCCTGCCAGGACCCTGCTCTAGTGTGAGCTTCCCAGAACATCATGTCCTCCTCCAGGCATCCACCTGCTCTGCTGTAGGGTCCTCCATGGCTGCAGATGGACAGCTGCTCCACCGTTAACCTCCATGGGCTGCAAGGGGACAGCGTTCTTAAATAATATCCCAGACATGCTACCAGTGTCACTGATGAGCTCAGCCTTGGCCAGTGATGGGTCCATCTTGGAGCCAGCTGGTATTGGCTCTGGTGGACTTGGGGGAAGCTTCTAGCAGCTTTTCACAGAACCTTCCTCCCCTACCATAGCCTGATCTGCTACCAAAACCTTGCCATGCAAACCCAGTACAGGTGAGAATTAGACTTTTATTTTCAAATGTAACATTAATTTGGAATTCAAACTGTATTTTGAGGTACATGGAAGGGCAGTGTTCTATACCAGCAGGGCAAGTTATGCTGAGTTTCTTAGGAAATTTTGTCTGCAGATTTTATCAAAATTATAATTTCTGAACATTGGAAGCAAGATTTAGTGCTGTGGAGAGCACAGAGAAAGATGCTAGCATGAGCCCTACCAGGAATTTACTGTCCTAATAGGCAGTACAGTACATATTCTGTGGATCTTCTTTGGCAAGTCTTTTTCTTGTTCTCTTCCCCCTTTGGATTTGTTTTCCTTTGTGCTTCCATGTACTTTTAAGCACAAATGGGAAGGAAGGCCCTTGCCCAAGGAAGGCTTTACAGATGGGATGCTTAGTTCAGCCATTTGGATGATGGGGCCAATTTATTGCTTCCCAGTTGAAATTATTTGAAGGTCACGTTATATAAGTATAAATACCAAAGAACGGGAACTGTATGCATTTAGCAAAAGGTGAAACTTATCTATGCCTTTCACCTTTCAAAAATCAGCCACCAATTTATCTCAAAGACCTATGTCTTAGTTGTAAATTAGTGTCTAGAGTGTTGCAACAATCATGCAGTTCATTGAGGCACTGTCCACAGGCACATGTAGCTTGCTATTCACAATGGCTCTGTATCATTAAATGTCCTTTCATACCATCAAATTAAGTAGAAAAACAGAACTAGCATACTGAAATAAGCTTAGTCTTTCTGCTAGCAATAACCTAGATATATTTCAGGGGTTTTGTGTATGTGTTTTGGGGTTTTTATTGTTGGAAAAGTCAGTATTGCTTCAATTATTGTGAAAGCATCCATCCATCCATCCACCCATCCATCCACCCATCCATCCATCCATCCATCCATCTATCTTATCTATACACATACATACCATCAGCCTGCTGGCTTTGAGGGTGTAAGGTATTGGTGTCCTAATTCACAGTCCATGTGCTCATCTCTCCTGTGTGACTTGTGAATTAGATGTTGGACACAAGGCTCCCTGAGGAACCATAGTAGGCATTGTAAATAACAGGGAGCAAATGGTATTTACGTCACATTTGAGGCTGTGCTCTTGCAGGGCAAGCAACATTGGCTTCCTTTGGGTAGTTTGTCTATGGATTAATCGTGATGATCATTTTAAGCCCCATAAAGAGTAGAACTGCACCAAACAGAATAATGTACAGGTCCAGGTCTTTTCAGGAGTTTATCCTCCAAACAGACAACATGATATGTGCTAGAAGGCTCCAGGGAAGGCTCTTAAAGCATCCATCTGCCGTGTAGTCTTTAGTCATCCAGAGGTGGGGCAGCAGTTTGGCATGGCACAGCAATAAATGTCAGTTATATCGCCTTCAAAGTGATGAGGAGTTTAAACTTCTGGTTCAGACCCTCTCTAGGCAAATTTAACTTAGCTTTACTTTAGAAAAAGTCACTTCAGAGTAGGTCTTCCGGATGTATCTGCTGCATAACAAATGTAAATGAAGAAGCAACTGAATATTTCACAACCATTCTAGTTTTATAAAATGTGTGTGCTTTTCTTTATGCTATGTATTTATGCAGCAATTAACTGTTAAAAATGAAATGTGAAGCAGCGTATTTAATTTATCTCTCTGAAATCATATAGAGGAATGTAGGAACAGCAAGCAGATTTTTCTAAGTGATAAATGGTAAAAGTGAAAATTGTTGGTAGCTGTGGCAGTATTTTACTACTAATTCTGCCTAGTCCATTACCATAAGTGTCTTTAATTCTGCTGCAGAAGAGAATGATTACGTATAGTTGATTTTCCCATCTCATGTACAGTTGGACTCCCTGTCTCTATAACTGCGGAAAAATGTGTTTCAAGGGCCATACGTATATAAACTGTGATTTATTTGTGTGCGTAGAATCAACTATATGGCATGCTAAGCTCTAACATTTGGCCTCAAATTCTAGAAGGTATACAATTTTGTTTCTTTGCAAACTGAATATAGATTTTACTTGACACTTATGCCTTCACGTGAATCATAGTTCTCATTTTATGAGAGAATAAAACTAACAATGCCAGGCATCGTTTCTAGGAACACCACTCCTGAAGGGTCAAAATCACCAGATTCAGTCTGAATGTTGAAACCTGTGTCTGGTGCAATGTTTTAGTAGCAATTTCAGCTTATCCACACAAAAGTTTTAAACTCCTGTAATAACTGTGTAATTCTTATTCTTCCCCCAAATAACAGTCCTTTAGTTATGTGTAGGTTCAGTCCTGGACTCCTGTGTACCCCCGTGAGAATGGATTATACCCTTGCACTATAAGGCTACAGGGGAAGAGGTGATATTCCATCTGACAGGGTTCAGTGGGTTTCCCTGCTGACAGAGAAAATGATGATTTTAAGGCACCAGTCTCATCCATCATTACAAGAATAGCTCACAGATATGACAAGAAATCTTATGAAAAATAATCTCTGGTCTAGACAATAAACCAATCAGTTCTGATGAAATCCATAAACCTTTTATAGACTGTATTGAAGAGCAGACCAAAGCTTTCTGGTTATAAGTTTTGCCTTTTAAAAATATGAAGAGCTTGTCTCTTCAA